GTCTAAAGTAAAACGCACATTATTAATAGAAGCGTGAGTGCAACTTTGTTCACTAAACAAAGAGAAAATAAAAAAAAAAAGAAATAAAAGAAAGAAACAAAAAACGCAGAGCTTCAGCATGCTGCCACCATGCACGATCAAGCATCATCAAGCACCATTCCAACAGAGCTGGTGGCTCTCGGATGACAGGAGATCGGATCGTGGCTCGACGTCGGAGGTTGAGAGTCGCCGTGAAATCTGAGCTTCGTAGTCGGTGGCTCGCCGCTGGAAGCTCGCTGGCCGAAAGGAAATTTTGAGGGAGTCTGATTAATTGAGGGACGGCTGGATGTTTAGCTGCTTAAATAGAGAGGGTTTAGGGTTGCTTCTTGGTGGAGAAAGTCGTGGGTGAATTGGCCGAAAAATAGGGAAACAGTTGAGCTGTGACCGATTCTCGCGAGATGCGTTGATCTGTTGTGAGAAAGAGGGAGATGGGATGCTGCGATCCATTTCTTGAGGCCGATGGAGTTGAATGGGCCGATCTTAATGGAGGTTTGGGCCGAGAATTTGGGCTGCGAGATTTGACCTTCTTAACTAAATCAAATGGTCTCATGGTCCTGTGGGTTTGGGAGATGGACTAGATAATGTTCTTGGGTCCAAAGGAAAAAAAATATCCATATATATATATGTATATATATATATATACCCTTAAGAAATTTATGGACATTTAAAAACAATTAGTACAAATAATATACTAAAAAGAATTAATCTAACACTTAGCACAAAAATTCAAATAATCACTTAAGCACAAAATCACATAATCATGAAAACACCAAAGTCAAATAATCACCTAGAGAAATAAATCAAATAAGCACATAATTCACTTAAGAAAATAATTCACATAATTACATAATTCAATTAGGAACTTAATTCACATAATCTAATAATTCAATTAGGCAAATAATATGGTCAAATAATCACTTAAGAACATTTGGGAAAATATGAAAGAACACTCAGCAAGAAGGCACAAAAATAACATTTAGGCAAATTGGGTACAACCAAACACTTAGACACATAAAATAAATTAAGCACTTAAGAAAACAAAATTGACACTTAGCACACATAACACTTAAGCACAAAAAGTACAATTAGGAATACAATTCACATATGCACCCTTAGCCTTTATTAAAAC